TTACCTCAGAGAGTATGTAAACTAGATTAGTCCGTTTAGTATGCTGAACCAACCGGTTTTATATTCTGTTATTGGTTTAGTTGTTTGTTACAAGAGGAGTGTGATCCATGTAAAACGTTGTTACCTCAGAGAGTATGTAAACTAGATTAGTCCGTTTAGTATGCTGAACCAACCGGTTTTATATTCTGTTATTGGTTTAATTGTTTGTTACAAGAGGAGTGTGATCCATGTAAAACGGTTTTACCTTAGCCAATAAGTAACAGCAGAGTATGTAAAAATTGATTAGTCCGCTTTAGTATCCTGAACCGACCGGTTTAGTATTCTGTTATTGGTTTAGTTGTTTGTTAGAAGAGGAGTGTTGTGATCGATGTAAAACTTAACAGCAGAGTATGTAAAAATTGATTAGTCCGTTTTAGTACACTGAACCGGCAGGTTTAATATTCTGTTATTGGTTGAATTGTTTGTTACACTGAGAACATTCATCTTTCTCTAATAAATAGGCTAGCAGAGTCTTACAGAGGCTTCTGCATCCCTCCGAGGCCTGACAAGAGCATTGTGGAGAGCCAAGTGATGCAGAAGCAAGAGTTCGTTGAGCAGAGACGTGTTGCCTTGGAGAAGTACTTGCGGAGGCTCGTTGCGCATCCTGTGATTAGGAGTAGTGAGGAACTTAAGGTGTTTCTTCAGGTGGAAGGGAAGTTACCATTGCTGGCGAGTGTTGACGTGGCGTCTAGGATGTTGGATGGGGCTGTGAAGTTGCCGAGACAGTTGTTTGGTGAAGGAGGAGGAGGAGGTGAGGTGGCTCAGCCGGCTAGAGGCGGTAGAGATTTCCTGAGGTTGTTTAAAGAGCTTAGACAGTCTGTTTCTAATGAATGGGGTGGGGGTAAGCCAGCTGTTGTGGAGGAAGATAAAGAGTTTTTGGAGAAAAAGGAGAAGATGCGTGATCTTGAGCAGCAGATTATTAATGCTTCACAGCAGGTGGAGTTTCATTGCTTTCATTTATGATGCATCACTGTGTTTTCTCACTGTTTTTGTTTTCTTGTGTAGGCTGAAACAGTTGTGAAGGCACAGCAAGATATGGGGGAGACTATGGGGGAATTAGGATTAGCATTCATTAAGCTGACGAAATTTGAGAACGAAGAAGCTGTGTTCAATTCTCAACGAGCTCGTGCTAATGATATGAAGAATTTAGCTACTGCGGCTGTGAAAGCAAGCAGGTTTTATAGAGAGTTAAATTCACAGACGGTCAAGCATTTGGTAACTTTAGATACGACAGTAGATATGAAGAATAGTATTCTCGAGTTGGGATTTATAGTTTCATTAAGGAGATGTTATTTGATGTCAGGACACACTGCATGATTACCTTGGCCTAATGATGGCGGTACAGGGCGCGTTTGCAGATAGGTCTAATGCTTTACTGACAGTGCAGACGCTTTTATCTGAGATTTCTTCACTGGAAGGAAGAGTGGAGAAGCTAGAAGCTGCGTCGTCAAAGGTATTTGGGGGTGATAAATCAAGGATTAAGAAGATAGAAGAGATAAAAGAAACAATCAGGAGCACTGAGAACGCCAAGAATGTAGCCATCAGAGAGTACGAGCAGATCAAGGTGGTTTTCAATCATTCCCCTAAACGAAATAAATCTTATCCTGATTGAAAAGTCTAATGCAAATATGTATTATTTTGACAGGAAAATAACTGGAGCGAGGTTGAAAGGCTAGACAGAGAAAGGCGTGCAGACTTCTTGAGTATGATGAAGGGTTTTGTTGTTAACCAGGTACATTGTTATCAGATGAGTGAGGTCTTAATTAATTTGAAAATAATTCTTTCATAAAATGGATGCAATGATTGATTAGAGTGATTGCAGAGACATGTGAGTTGTGAAATAAAGAGATAAATGTCTGAAAACAGAGTTGTTTGGAATATGGATGGTGCAGGTTGGATATGCAGAGAAGATCGCCAGTGTGTGGACAAAGGCTGCAGAGGAGACCAGTCAATACGATAGAGAGAGCTCTTAACAAGGGATCAGCCTTTTTATTCTTCATTCATGATTTTGAGCTTAAGACCAATTTTACGTTACTTTCTTAGAGTCACACTTCTAGTTTGTTGTACATGTTTATCTGAATTGGGTGTTAAAAAAAAAGTGTTGCTACAAACAAACAACCTTATAAGAAAACATAGAAACTATATTGTTCTGCTTATTGATCTGTCTCTTTTCTTTGCTGCTATGTGAATGTTTTATATTCATTCTTGAGCACATAACTGGAAGTAGAATACTGCTTTAAAGCGATTTTAAAGAGTAAATTATTAAAATTCCACACAAACATAACAAAACGCTCTACTGGAGTTTTAAAATGGTTTTTTTGCAAGAAAGAAACATGAAAGGACAGAAGCTCAAAACTGAGGTAACAAGCGAGAGTCTATGATACTAAGAGTAAAACCAAATGATTCAACTTTAAGCAGCTTGTTGGCCAGAAAGCCTCTTCCTAGCTTCCTCAATGATGGTAAGCTTAATACCTTTGCCCTTTGGAAGAGACACCCATGGCTTAGTACCTTTCCCGAGGGTGAACACGTTGCCCAACCTAGTGGCAAACTCGTGTCCTGTCGAGTCTTGGATATGGATCGTCTCAAAGCTTCCCTTATGCTTCTCACGGTTCTTAATCACACCAACACGGCCTCTGTTTCTACCTCCCGTCACCATCACAACATTACCAACATCAAACTTGATGAACTCAACAATCTTGTTCTCCTCAAGGTCAAGCTTGATGGTGTCGTTTGGCTTGATGAATGGGTCAGGGTAACGGATGGTGCGACCATCGTAAGTGTTGAGGTAAGGGATTCCCTTCTGCCCAAACTGGATAGTCCTAACCTTGCAAAGCTTGAACTGCAATATACAACAAATCACATTACTCTTCTAATTACCACCACTACTCAAAGAGTTTTGTCAATATTTTACCTTTGCTTCCTCATCTCTGATGGAGTGGAGACGGAAACGTCCCTTCGTGTCATAGAGAAGACGGAAGTTCTCATTCGTCTTGGGGATCGATACAACATCTATTCAAACCAAAATGTAACTTAGGGCCAGTGATTATCAAGATAGATGCAATCAAAAAGGAAAAGAAAACGTACCCATAAAACCAGCAGGGTATGTCTTATCAGTTCTCACTTTACCATCAACTTGGATGTGCCTTTGCATCAGGATAGAGATGACTTCACGGTATGTCAAAGCATACTTCAACCTGTTCCTGATAATCAGAACAAGAGGAAGACACTCTCTCGACTTGTGAGGTCCAGAAGACGGCTTTGGGGCCTGCATCATGAACAATCAAAGACAGCAACATGTTACAGAAAAAATGTCATGAACGGTACTGAAACACAAAGTTTGAGACAAGAAAACGTACGAAGGCACCACCAAGTTTGTCAAGCATCCAATGCTTGGGGGCATTGAGCCTCTTCAAATGCTTCTTCAATCCCCTCGCCTGTATTTTTTTACATTCAGACATAAAAGGTCAGAACAAACAAAAGCCAGACAGACAAGTCTAATTAATACAAAGTTATCAACATTTATGCTTAGGACACTAACAAAATGCTCATGTTTTGAATATCCATTTCTATCATATCACTCAACGCAGAAGAGATACAGAGATCGATGGAACATTAGTAAGAAATGAAGACGAACCATGTTTGCAGGTGTTTCGGAGCTGACGACGACGAGGACTTCTGGTTCCTCTGCGGCGCCACTTCAGCTGTGATTATATATCAAAAAGAAGAAGAAAACTGAAGCCCTAGGTGTAGTTTGTTCACTCATATATTACTATTGGGCTTATTTAGTTTTTACAGGCCCATTTAGTAATCTAAAACTCACTAAGGGCCTGGTTCTTTAAAATTTAAGTCTAATAATTTTTTTTTCTTTTGTTTTTTTTTCAGTCTCTAAGAGCAAAATTAAATAATTAAGAGAAAGTTTTTACAGAAAAAATAATTAAATAATTAGTATACCCCACAAAAAGTTAAGGATTCAATATTTAAAATTATTTTTAATAATTTTTTCTTAGTGAATCATTACAATATTTACGGATCATGATTGGTTGATTTTTTTAAAATCAAAAAATAATAATAATAAAAAAAAAGATTAAGGACAGGTTTACCATTGAAGATGCTTTAATATATGAAAGACGAAATACAAGTAAACCTTTAATTGACTTTGATTTTTTAGTGCTGATTAGGGTATATCTTTGAGCTAAAGCTCGTGATCTTAAGAGCATCTCCACTAATTAGAGGTTCATAGGGGGAGTTTACCCATTTTCCAAGAAAAAAAAATTAAAATAATATTATTTTGGTGAACCTCTCTCAGAAAAGTTCAGGACAGTGAACCTAGTTCACATGGGGTTCGCCACGTGGCGGTACCCTATTTGTCTGAAATTTTATACTTTTTTTTTTAAAACAAAAAAAAAATTAAAAATCAATTTTTTTTTTGGTGAACCCCCATAGGATTCACCAATGTGGATGCTCTAAGAACATGATCTCGTTGCTGAGGTGGCGTTAAATCTTTGGTCATCAAAATATAACTTAATGCAAATGAAATGCTTGATAAGAGAATGATTACACAAAGCATATGAGGTCGCTTATCATATTTTGAATAAGTTATAATTAATGGATAATACTCACCCACTTATTTATTTTCTCATTTCACATAATTTTAAAAGTTTAAGGGATTCATGTGTTCCTTCAAGTTATCCATCGCAGGTTTAGGCAACGTCACCAACACCCTAACACCACCTTGCTTCCTCGGCAAGAAAACACAAATATCCGAAAGAAACTTAGGCACCACTGGTATTATATTCACCGATCCCCCATACCCAAAATCAACTTCATCTAGCAACCCAAGTTGCCTCCAATCAGTAAGCAACATAAACGCACCACTCCCTCCTTGACATGCCACTTTCATCTTCAAACTCTTCTCTGTCTCTTTTAGCTGCTCAAACACGTACCTTTTCTTTAAAGCCTCCCTCTTAGCATCTTTGATGAGTTTCACCACATTAGATAACTCTGAGCTGCTTAACTCTCCAGCCTTCATTGCCACGCTGGCTTTGACGAATGCGTTTCCGTAGTAGCCTTCACGTAACGGTGGATCAACAGTGCGGCGTATGCTCACTGCCATTCCGAAAAGTGTGGTTCCATTTGGACTTAGTTTCAGGGCCTTGCATCTTGCTCTCCATACGTGGGCTGCAAGTATCTCTAGAGTTGTGACGTCTTCCGTGACGTTTTCCTTGAGCTGAGTGATGTCTTGGGATGTGATGGTGAGGATCTTGCAGACCATGTCGTTGGTTGGTGTGTAGGGAGAAGTTGCTACGGATGAACAAGCCTCTCCGAAATCAATCAGCTTGGGAGCTTGTTCTTCCTCCACTTGCCCTACTTATTATGTGTACAAAGGTTATGAGTCTAATAAATAACTCAAATAAAATGAAAATCCAAAGTAACATATTTGAATAAGAAGTTCGTGGACTTTAACAATATATAGATTTTCTTAAGAAGTATATATTTTAATTTACATAAATCTAAAACAGTAAATAAAAATTAGTTAATAATTTTGCCAAATCTCAAATAATAGCAATTTTAAAGTTTATCCAAAAATAGCATTCAATAATAAAAATCGCAAAATAACATTTGATTGACAAGAAAAAAATACTAAATTACTCTGACTCATAAATCATAATTCCACCCTCACCTCCTTAATAATAAACCATAAATCTTAATCAGTAAACATAAACCCAAATATAAACGGTTTTTTTTTTTGAAAAAGATATAAACGTCTTTTTAACTTTTAATTATTCTTATTTTGAGATTTTTGTGCTAATTTTATCATAAAACATTATTTGATGCTATTTGAGGGAAGTTCTATGATAACTTTATATATGTTATATGTATACCATTAATGTTGAAGTTGTTGGAGGTTAGGCAGTGTCGATCCCAAACGGGGATGACGCTAGGCTGTGTCTTTCCAGCGGCAAACTCAGTGAAGGCTTTAAAAAACTGAGACGCTCCAAAACCATCACATAGAGAATGAGAGAGAGCCGTTGCAAGAGTGATCCCTCCACATGCAAACTCAGTGACCTGGAGAGCAAGAACGTTATACCCTCCAGCAGCCACAGCTTCATAACTAGGTACGAGTTGGTTCAAGTCCTCGTCCATGTCCTCCAAGTAGTTGAGAGAAGAAAGAGTGCACTCTGCGATGGCCTTTACAAAAGGGACTCCTTCTCCGGGAACACACTTCAACTCAAGTCTATGGTCATCAGATCTCCGGTGAAGTTTTCCAGCGAGAGGGTAGTAGTGTGCAAGAGCATGAGAGAGTGCTTCTTGAAGAAGGGAAGCAGGATCTTGAACTTCTTTGGAAGATGGGGCGTAGACGTAGATGGTCTTGGCTAGAGTTTCGATGTAAGGATCGTTGTCGAGTGTTGAGAGGGAAAGAGAGACTTTTGGTGTTGGTTTTGAAGGTTTCACTATGACCACTTGTGATTTCTTCACCACCAAGGGACTCGTTGATGAACTCATGCCTTGGCTTCCCATTTCTATGTCTTGATTTTCTATATCACAAACGTATTTGTGTGTGACTATTTATAGAAAACTTAAGGAAATGTATATATTAGAAATAGAGGGGAGCGAGTTGGTAAGATTATGACTTTGAAGATTAGAAAAGGTTACAAGAAGGAAATGAAAACTGCAAAGTCAAGTCTTATCTTTATATCATATAAAATTGCGGTGGTTTATCCTAATCCCTTTCAATACTTCAACTCGCATTTAAAAAAAAAAGTCTGGATCCAAAGATTTAATCTTAAATTATTGGACCTAGCTATATATATACAAAAAAAAGGAAGAATGTGAAAGTCAAATGCACTGATGAAAGCATTGAAGATATATAATAGTGTTGTAAGTGATGTCGCAATAAGATTCGCGAGGCATGGATATATCAAAAAACGCGTTTATGTTTGTGGTGGTAGCCCGAGTCCTCAACGTATTCTTCACTACTCATCATTCTCTCTATGTAGTGTTATATTTTTTACTTTAGAATATCGATATCTTATAAACATGGTGTATACTAAAGAGAACAACGACATTAGGTTTTTGGATTCGAGAATCCAACATGAAGTTAGTAAAATGCTATGTGGGAGCAGTCATGGAGAGCCACGTACGTATGCACATGTGTGCTTATAGACTTTGGAGAGTGATCGGTAAGTGGTTCGGACACGGAGATTGAATGATGTAAAAGTAGGGGTAATCATATCCGCTTTACAGAATTTCACTCTTTCTTTATTTTATGTGATACAGATCTTCTTCATGAATCTGGATTACATATCATATGCAATCAAAGTGTTTGAAGTATATTTAATAATATACTTCTTTCTGGATCAATCCTGCTTAAACCCTAATCAGTGTAAGAGTGTAAAGCATGCTTATGCATATCACCACATGTAATCGGAAACCCCAAAATCAGAAATGAAATTTCATGACATACGTTAAGGGAGTGAGACAATATGTTGCAGACGTCTTTCATTTTTTTTTTTTTTCATAACAATCATACAGTTCATCAAGTGTATACAAATTAGAACAGGTACAAAGAAAATGTAACTTTGGGGTTATTTTTTAAACAATTAGCATATATTGTGAACAAAGAGTTGGGTCAGTTGTGTTATTAGTTTCGTTTCAGATTTTTAATAATAGCTGGTCCCAAATTTCTCTAATTTTTTTATTTTTTTAAAAAACCTCCTATATGTTTATTTTCTTTAATAAATAAAAATGAGGCAAATATTTATCTCGAAAAAAGATTTCATGAGTTGACGGAACTAACTATTATAGTGATAAGAAATTTAATGACTATTTCACTATTGGAGCTAACATATTTAGTATAATTTGTTAATTTAACTTTTACTTAACAAAAGAAAATTATATTTAGTTTTAAAAAAAATCAGTGAGATACTTGGGTATATTGGACATATTTATTTCGAAAACGATTTCATGAGTTGACGGATCTAGCAATTTTTAGTGAAAATAAATTTAATAACTATATCTTACTATTGGGGCTAACAGATTTAGTATAATCTGCTTATGCATATCACCACATGTAATCGGATACCCCAAAATCAGAATGAAATTTCATGACATACGTTAAGTGAGTGAGACAATATGTTGCAGACGTCTTTCATCCTTTTTTTTTTTTTTCTAACTGGTCTTTCACCCCTCTTTCGTAAACTCAAATGTCTCTTACAAATTAGACCAGCTACAAAGAATTTTAACTTGAGGTTATTTCTTGAACAATTAGCATATATATTGTGAACAAAGAGTTGGTTCAGTACTTCAGTTTATTAGTTTCGTTTCAATTTTTTAATAATGACTCGTCTTTTTTTTTTAAAAAAAAAACAAGCACGTATATATGCTTATTTTCTGTAATCAATAAAAATATTTATTTCGAATTTCCTTTTCATGATTTGACGGATCTAGCTATTATAGTGATAAGAAATTTAATGACTACCTTACTATTGGAGCTAGCAGATTTAGTATAATTTGTTTAACTTAACTTTTACTTCTTCTTTTATTTTTGAAAAAGAACTTAACTTTTACTTAACATAAGGCAATTTTATCAGTGAGATACTTTTGGGGACCAATATCTCACAAATAAGTTTGTTCTTATCTTTTGTTAATTACAAAAATACCACTTAGGATAAAAACCACAGATCCATCAAAAAAAATAAAGTCAACGATTAAAGACTCATGATAGCGGATTAGGTGGACGAGCCCACAGGGTACACATGCTCCTCTGTCAAATCCTCACTTCCACGCATTAACATCTCTCCTAGATTTTTCTCTCTCTCTCTTTTTCTTTTTAATTAAATAAAAACCCAAAAAAACAAAAAAAAAACAGAGGAGCAGAACAGAGCTGATGCGCTCTACTCATTACAGCAAAGATCCACACTTTATCGATCGTATCGTCTTCCTTACAGGTAACCCACTTCTTCTCCCTCCTCTCATCGAATCAGATTCGTGTTTAGCTTCTTAAAGTTCCAACCTTTATAGGAAATGGAGAACAAACCAAGTGTCCTAACCGATAGATACGAGGTAGGACGCTTACTAGGACAAGGCACGTTCGCCAAAGTCTACTACGCTCGAAGCGTCCACACAAACGAGAGCGTAGCCATCAAAATGATCGACAAAGACAAAGTCCTACGCGTCGGTCTAAGCGACCAGATCAAACGCGAGATCTCTGTAATGAGAATCGCAAAACACCCAAACGTTGTCTCACTCTACGAAGTCATGGCCACAAAGTCAAGAATCTACTTTGTCATTGAGTACTGTAAAGGCGGTGAGCTTTTCAATAAAGTCTCCAAGGGGAAACTTAGAGAAGACGTTGCTTGGAAGTACTTTCATCAGCTGATTAACGCTGTTGATTTTTGTCATAGTCGTGGAGTTTATCATCGTGATATTAAGCCTGAGAATCTCTTGCTTGATGATAATGAGAATCTTAAGGTTTCTGATTTTGGGTTGAGTGCTCTTGCGGATTGTAAAAGAGGGGATGGGCTTTTGCATACCACTTGTGGCACACCTGCTTACGTGGCGCCTGAGGTTATTAATAGGAAGGGTTATGATGGGACTAAGGCTGATATTTGGTCTTGTGGGGTTGTTTTGTTTGTGCTTTTGGCTGGTTACCTCCCTTTTCATGACTCTAATTTGATGGAGATGTATAGGAAGATTGGTAAAGCGGATTTCAAGTGTCCGAGTTGGTTTGCTCCTGAGGTGAAGAGGCTGTTGTGTAAGATGCTGGATCCTAACCATGAGAGTAGGATTAGTATTGCGAGGATTAAGGAGAGTTCTTGGTTTAGGAAAGGGTTACATATGAAGCAGAAGAAGATGGAGAAGCAGGTTAGGGAGGCTGTTCCTGTTGCTATGGAAGTTGGAGAAGGTTCAGGTTCTAGTGAGAACGGAGAGAGCAGCGAGCCGTCTCCTCAGCTTGCGTACTTGAACGCTTTTGATATTATCAGCTTGTCTGCAGGGTTTGATCTTGCGGGGCTTTTTGGGGATGTTAATGAGAAGAGAGAGTCTAGATTTGCGTCTAAGAAACCTGCTGGGGAGATTATTTCTAAGCTTGAGGAAGTGGCTAAAGGTTTGAATCTGAAGATAAGGAAGCAAGACGCGGGGCTGTTTAAGCTTGAAGGGTCAAAGGAAGGGAGGAAAGGAGCTTTGTCGATGGATGCAGAGATATTCCAAGTGACGCAGACGTTTCACCTGGTTGAAGTGAAGAAATGTAATGGTGATACCATGGAGTATCAGAGGCTAGTGGAGGAGGATCTTAGGCCTGCGCTGGGAGATATTGTCTGGGTTTGGCAAGGTGATAAGGAGAATGAGGAGCAGATAAAGCGTGGTTTGCAAGATGAACAAGGAGTAGAAACAACGTGTTGAACCATTGTAACAGGAACATGAAGAAGAGAAGAAACATGATAAATGAGCATCAAGAACAGTCACTCTAAGGTGTTACAAACAAAAGCAAGAGGTAAAAAATACCTGAGGAATTACATAACTTGATTCTTTACAAATAGCCTGCAAAATTTGCAGAAAGTTAATTGTTGTAACAAACTACCTTGTGTTGTTTACTTTGAGCATCCTATATAAATTTCTTAAGGTTTTGTCCGTACAATAGCAAGAATCAGAGAATGAATGTGTGTGGGTGTTGTGTAAGAGAAAATCCTTTTCAAGTGTATAAAACAAGCAAATCTTATATTGTTTTCCGAACTTCATGAGAGGATTTGAGAAGTTGGCTGGCAAGAAACAAGAGACATATATATCACTTTCGTTTTGTAGGACTTTTATGAAAAGCCGTATGAAAACACTGTGGATTAAACACACAATAAACAATGTGCATTTTAAACATGTGAGCTTCTTTGTTACGCGTTGACATAAGGTAGGTATCAAAAGGGGATATAATAGTAAGCGCGTTAGGTTTGACGAGTCCCATAGGGAAACATATACACACTGTCTATGTAGATTTTATTTGATTTTGGAATGTTTCATGCCTTTCTTATTCAACTAGTATAATCTATATAAATAAACAAAGACAGAGATGAATACAGGTCAAAGCAGAGATCTGCACCTCCTCTTATCTCTCTTCTTACTCTTCTTCTTTCTCATTGCAGAAGAAGTAATTTGATTCTTCTTCCTCATATTGCTTATCCTTTTCTTGTTAAAAATCTAAGATGGAGAACAAACCAAGCATACTAACTGATAAATATGAGGTTGGGAGATTACTCGGTCAAGGCAACTTCGCCAAGGTCTTTTACGGAAGAAGCATTCTCACAAACGAGAGTGTAGCTATCAAGATGATAGACAAAGACAAACTCAAGAAAGTTGGTCACAGTGAGCAGATCAAAAGAGAGATCTCTGTGATGAGCCTAGCCAAACACCCTAACGTCGTTAACCTACACGAGGTCATGGCAACAAAGACAAAGATCTACCTCATTCTAGAGTACTGCAAAGGTGGAGAGCTTTTCAAGAAGATGGTGAAAGGCAAACTAGCTGAGAACGTCGCTTGGAAGTACTTTCATCAACTCATCAATGCCGTTGACTATTGCCATAGCCGTGAAGTGTATCACCGTGACATTAAGCCAGAGAATATCTTGCTTGACGAGAACGATAACCTCAAGGTTTCTGATTTTGGTTTAAGCGCATTAGCCGAGAGCAGACGCCAAGACGGTCTGCTTCACACAGCTTGTGGCTCACATGCCTATGCTTGTCCTGAGATTGTTAACAGGAAAGCATATGATGGGACTAAAGCAGATATATGGTCTTGTGGGGTTGTCTTGTTTGTGCTTTTAACCGGTTATCTCCCTTTCTATGCGTCAAATATAATGGAGATGTATAGGAAGATTGGTAAAGCACAGTTCAAATGTCCACGTGAGTTTCCACCAGAAGCAAAGAGACTGTTGCATAAGATGTTGGATCCTAACCCTGAGAGTAGAATCACCATCTCAAAAATCAAGGAGAGTTCATGGTTCAAGAAAGGTTTACCAATGAAGCAGAAACGGATTGAGAAGCAAATGGAACCTGGTCCAAGTGAGCCACCACCACAGCTTTCAAGCATGAATGCTTTTGATATCATCTCCTTGTCATCAGGTTTTGCTCTGGGAGGTCTATTTGGAGAAATGTACAACAAGAAAGAGTCCAAGTTCACATCTAGAAAGCCTGCTTTAGAGATCATTTGCAAGCTGGAGGAAGTAGCTAGAGCGTTGAACTTAAAGATAAGGAAGCAAGAAGCAGGTTTGTTCAAGATTGAAGGAGCAAAGGAGGGGAGAAAAGGGAGGTTGTTGATAGATGCGGAGATATTTGAAGTGACGGAGACGTTTCATCTTGTTGAAGTGAAGAAATGTAGTGGGGATACAATGGAGTATCAGAGGCTAGTGGAGGAGGAGCTTAGGCCTGCTCTGGCTGATATTGTGTGGGTTTGGCAAGGGGAGAATGAGCATGTGTTGCAGGAAGGAGAAGAATCATTGTAGAGATCAACTAAAAGTGAGAACCATTGTGAAGAACTAAGAGCCATTTTTTAAAAAAAAATTTTAACATAGATTAGCTGATTGTTGTAACCTCTTTTTCAATCTTGTTTTTTTTTTTTTGCTTTCAGTTTGTGAGTTTATTAAGGTTTGGTTGATATAATAATAATAGCAGAGAATGATGGTGGTGAAGTTATTAACTGTCATCATTGTTATGTTTTCATAAACTTTCAGTTGTCAATACTCTCTCATATGCTAGTTTTGTGAAGTACATAACTAACTAACTTAGAAATCCAAACAGTAGATTAACTTAGAAACCAGTCCTCCAACATGCTTGTCCAGATCCTCTGATAAAGAGTATAGCATCCTTCAAAAGAATAACCACTAAGTTCTGTAGTAGATATATGAACATTTCTCATGTTTGAGGGGGTAGTTTCGTCTTTTCAGTTATAAGATAGAGAAAAAAAAAAAGGAAACAAATGATTTGTTTGCAGTTTTAAATTGTTTTGACGCGTTCTTATATTTATCTTTTGTTTATTATAATTAATTTATTAGAGAGGAAAAGTCGTGAGGAGGATATGATCGTAGGGACGAACAAGTCGGAGAAGAGAAGGGAGACGCCGTTAGATCTGGTTTTGTGGCCATCCACCAACTCTTAATCCATTTTCATTCCTTTAAACAAAAAAACAAAAAAAAAGAAGCAATTTCTCAAAGGATTAATTTTTTGCCTTTATAGACTTTCGATCTCAAAGGATCTCGCGTTGTCGAAAGTTTCATCCTTTTTTTTTTCTTCGTTCCATCGATTTCGTCTAATCATGAGGAAGAAGCTCGACACCCGTTTCCCTGCTGTAAGTTTTTCCTTTCCTGATTGATTGATTGATGATTGGTTGCTCCAAAGTTTTGAACTTTAAGCCTCTTATGATTATGAAATTAACGTTTCCGCTGGATAAAAATTCGTACTTTGATGGCGTATTGTATAGATTGTATCTAATTCGTATTCTCTTGCGTGTTTTCACCATTTGGGTTGTGTTTCTTTTCGTGTGTTAGGTTTGAGATATTGATAAAGTTATGATTTTTATATTGTTAAGGATGGATCTTATGATTAATGATTTGTGTCCATGTGAAAATTTTGCAGGCGCGTATAAAGAAAATAATGCAAGCTGACGAGGATGTTGGCAAGATCGCTCTGGCTGTGCCTGTCTTAGTTTGTGAGACTCACTTAATTTTTTTTTTTTTTTTTTTTTACTTTGCAGTGTTTTTTTTTAATCTTTTCGCTAAGTTTTCTACATTTTATTACAACAGCAAAAGCTTTGGAATTGTTCTTACAAGACCTTTGTGATCGTACTTATGAAATCACTCTTCAAAGAGGAGCCAAGACTGTGAGCTCTTTGCACTTGTAAGTCCTTTGTTTCAAACATCTTTGTAGCTGTGTTATCAAGTAATAACCTATTATTACAATAAGCTGGAACTAGTTCCACTGTTTAGGATTATTTGTTTTGTGGCTATAGGATGTTTCTAATATTTTTTTGGCTTTGTTACCATGGCTTATGTCATTATACTGCATCCAAATTCATTGATTTGTTTGTTGTGTACAGAAAAAACTGTGTAGAAACATACAACGTGTTTGACTTTCTGAGGGAAGTTGTCAGCAAAGTTCCTGACTATGGCCATGGGCATGGTCACGGTAATGGCCACGCTGATGCAACCATGGACGATCGCACTATCTCCAAGAGAAGGTATGATCCTGGCGTTAATTATCTATTTGCTTTTCCATATTCTTGGTTTCTTTTTTTCTAGACTCCTTGTTAAGCTTATATGCTGTTTTGATTGGCCAGGAAGCCTTTGGGAGATGAAGCTAATGACAGCGATGAGGAGCTAAAGAAGACCAAAGTGGTGAGCATTCCTATTACTTCTCTCTCTCTCTCTCTCTTGTAGAAGAAAACCAAAGTGTTTTGATGTGATGTTTTTCCCTATTGTGTGTGTGGTCACAACAGCAGGAGACAGGGCAAGTGGGACCAAGTGGAAGAGGTAGAGGAAGAGGGCGTGGAAGGGGACGTGGAAGAAGTGCAAAAACAGCTGAAAGAGAGCTTCTTCAACGCGAAATGGAAACAGAACCAACCATATTATCAGCACCACCACAACTTACTCAAGACGGTATCACTATGCCTGCTGCACCAACAACACAACAACAAGACATGGAGAAGAAGGATGTTGTAGATGACATGTCTAATAACCACGCAAAGCAAGAGCTGCAAAGTCCAAAAGCAGGTAACGACACAAACTCAGGGTTAGGTCGAGATTTCGATCTCAACACACAATCTCTAGACGTGGAGACAAAGGCACCAGTGGTGGTTGTCACAGACTCAAGAGAGACGAAACCAGAGGAATATCCTGGTTGGTCGGTATCGGATATAGGTAATATGGATCCAATGCAGCTTGCTAGTATGAGTAAGAGGTTAGACGAAGAGGAAGAAGATTATGACGAGGAGGAAGGTTGAGATGCTGAGACCCCTCTACATGTTAGTAGGAAACATGATGATGTAGGATTTAAAAAATAGAGAGTAGAAGTTTTAACATGTTAAAACAGTCTCTGTTTATGTAGAAGATGTGTATCATATGGCTCTTTTCTCTTCTCTGTTTATTTCCATAAGTTTGAAAAACTTGATTTACTTTTCATCACCCTTAGACTGATTCAGACCTAACCAAGAACATGTTTTCTCACTTGTAAGTCCTATAATACAGTATAAGCTTGTTTAAAGTTGTGAAGAGTTTGTAGAAAGCAAGTTGATTTGGCGAAAAGTGGCTCAAAAAGAACATTAATAAAATGAGAAGACAAGATCTAACCATTCTTGGCTTTACATACTACAAGATATCATATACCAACAAAAAACAAGTGACCGTAGCAACAATTATTATTTTTAATTCATTGATGTTCTCCTAGAAGAACAGTTGTTAAGATGATAATGATTTGCACATCTGTTTAATTGAGCTATCATATCATAATAACAAAGTTCTTAAATATCTATTTATTTCTCAAATTAAGTTAACTATGTGTGAATGATATTGTTTTACTCCCTCTGTTTCAGAATATATGTCATTCTATGCTTATTTTTTTGTCACAAATTAAGTGTCGTTTTAAAGTTTCGAGGCAAAATTTATTAGTTTTATATAATATTATATTTTTCTATTGATTGAAAAGTGGTTAGGTGTATAGATAATTGTGTTTTTACCTTGGAAATATGTAAAATTAAATATTTCCTTAATCTGTGTGTAAAAACTTAGAATGACAAATAAAGTGAAACGGAGGGAGTATCCATCATCACACTCTCCTCCAAGATTTAAAACACATTATTTACTCCATGTTTGCGACGACAAGAAACCGATTAATTCTACTCTCCTGAGTCACTAAAAATCGACACATCGTATCTCATTTTTTAATTAAGAGATTTAATTAAAGCCGTTAGATTAGAAAGAGTTATTTACTTTCGTGAAGGGGTAACTTAGCTTTTGAATGATTTAATAATATGATCATATGGTCCAAGTTCGAAGATTTTGGGAACCACCTTAATGCGCTTCAATGTCATTTGTTTGCTTACCTCATTGTCACTACAACGATTCTTTAGATGCTCCCCATAATCCCTCCCGTTACCTGCCACGTGTCGATTTCTTTTCCCCCATTTTCCAGTGACATCCTATGTTCCTTCTCGAATCATGCATGATTGCAACATTATTATTATTAAAAACACTTTTGTTTGTTACGAAACCATTAGTAACACATTTACATACCCTAAACAGACTCTTAATACTAACATTTTTTTTTCTGATGATAAATATATATATATATAATATAAATTATCATGTTATTTTAACCAATTCAACTACATTAATAATTATTAAAAATAATTTTATGAAGTTAAATGTATAACCATGACCGGTTCTTAAATTTTGGGGAGGGTCTTAGATAATTTTTTAAAAAATTTCAGCTATAATTTTTTCTAACTAATTTGGAGATTAAAAAAATATTTTTGGTCTTTTATGTACATATAATATTTTTTTCAGGGATTTAAGACGAATGTTTCAACAAGCTTGGTCTAGGACTAAGCCTGTGTATAGCAATATTTGTTAATATTATCACCAACATTTCGACTTTAATCAATCATAATTTATTGTTAATATAAAATTTCACATGTAGAAAATAAAATTTTACTTAAATTTTATATAATCTTACTTACATTTTCTAAGATTTTATTAAAACTTATATATATAAAATTTATATATAATTTTTCTAAAATATTAGTGCTGTTTATAATATTTTATTAATAAATATGTTATACGGATAATGAAAAACAACTAACCAAATTAAAAAAAAAAATTAGTTGTATTTGTATGAGAAAGTATTGGATCTTGTTTACGGGTTAATAATAATAAGTAATATTTATCTTAAAAATATTTCAAAAATATACCTTCTTGATTTGAATATCCTAATCTTTGGATTGGGTGGTTTTCCCTCTAGACAGCCTTGGAAACCATAAGTGCGTTTTTGGTTATCGGGTATAACGTTTATTGTGTGTCAAAATTTACTTTCAAATTGATGTAGTTTTTCTCAAACGGAATCATATACTTGTCCATAAGAATAAATAATTAAAAAACAAATATTTCAAGAGAAGGATCTAAAGCATTAGGGTCTCCAATAGAGTAAATTAGAACACATAATTTGTTTCATAATTTGTCTTCTGAAATGTTTCATAGTAGTACATTAACTTATGTATATGTATGATCTCAAATGGGATTCAACCTTCATATTTTGAGCACCAATAACTATAGAGGGGAGGTGAGAAAGTGACGTCAACCAAGAAACCTAAACATTAAACAAGTAAGAATAATACATGACTACGTACGCTGCATCTTACTATAAATACATAACATCACTTCAACATATTTCTTACTAACTCATAACCCAAACTAGAAGTACAATATGTCGATGGAGAAGCTTAGTTGCTGTGAAAGCTTCCTCAAAAGCTCTAAGCCCTACTTCGCCATGATATCTCTTCAGTTTGGTTACGCCGGCATGAACATAATTACCAAAATATCCTTAAACACCGGTATGAGTCACTACGTCCTTGTCGTCTACCGCCATGCAATCGCTACCGCCGTTATTGCTCCCTTCGCTTTCTTCTTCGAGAGGTTTTATATCCATTTCTTTTCATTATATGACTTCTCGAAAGAGAAATTCTTCAATGAAACAAGAAAGTTGTTAACGGTTTTGTGTTATTCGATTTTTATTTTTACAGGAAAGCTCAGCCAAAAATAACATTCGCAATTTTCATGCAACTATTCATTCTCGGCCTTCTTGGGTTGTTACTTAATCACTATCTCTATTTGACTTTGCCTCTCTTGAACGGTTTTATAAAGTAAATAAAAACAAGAAAATAACATATCTTTCCCTATAAATAAATCAACAGGCCAGTGATCGATCAAAACTTCTATTATATGGGGCTGAAATATACATCGCCAACGTTCTCGTGCGCCATTAGTAACATGCTTCCAGCCATGACTTTTATCTTGGCTGTACTATTCAGGTAGCAAATGAATGCACAATCATAGATATAAGGCAAAGTATTAATGGTTTCGAATTTTCGATTAATTATAAGAACTATTGTTTTGATTAATAGGATGGAGATGTTGGACGTGAAGAAACTATGGTGCCAGGCGAAAATAGCCGGAACGGTGGTGACTGTGGCCGGAGCCATGTTAATGACAGTTTACAAGGGACCAATCGTTAAGCTGTTTTGGACCAAATACATGCATCTCCAACATGCTAACGACACGACGCCGTCTAGTAATTCAAATGATAATAAGGATTTTCTCAAAGGCTCCATCCTCCTCATCTTTGCTACCCTTGCATGGGCCTCTCTCTTCGTTCTACAAGTAAAGTAACAGATGGAAAATATTATATTTTGTTTTCTATTTTTTTATTTAAGTGAAGAGCCAAAATTTTACTTTTACAAATCTCTTTTTTGTTAAGAGGTTTACTTTTTACAATTATCCGCTCATATTTTATTGGTTTGATCATTGTTTATGTGATTAGGCGAAAATACTAAAGACGTACTCGAAACATCAGCTTACTTTAACAACATTAGTTTGCTTCATCGGAACATTACAAGCAACTGCTGTGACCTTTGTCATGGAACATAACCCATCTGCTTGGAGAATTGGTTGGGACATGAACCTCCTTGCTGCAGCTTACTCTGTAATATTAATCTCTCTCATCTTCCATACATATAGATATATAGATATTCAAGTTATATAATCTCATAGTGAAAATAAGTAATCTGATACACACGGTTATGGTCATGGTGGGCCACTTGGTTTATAATCATTATCTGCTTTTTTAGATAAAACTCTATATATGGACCTTTTTTAGGTATGTAGCTAGATGGTTTATTAACAGATTATAATGGTTTATTTGGAAAACATAGGGGATTGTTGCATCAAGTATCTCATACTATGTGCAAGGGATAGTGATGAAGAAAAGAGGACCTGTGTTTGCTACTGCTTTTAGTCCTTTAATGATGGTTATAGTTGCAATCATGGGTTCTTTTGTCTTGGCAGAAAAGATCTTCCTTGGAGGGTATTTTCCCACTTTTGCCATTTTCTCATATACTCCATGATCATGTTCATAGTATTCAACAACGCAAATAAAAGCTGCTTATCGATTTGTTTTTGTATCAGGGTGATTGGAGCGGTACTTATTGTAATTGGACTGTATGCAGTTTTGTGGGGAAAGCAAAAGGAAAATGAAGTGACTCATTGTGAGATGTTAGAACCCACCAAGAATATTGACCCAAGTAGTAATGTACCTGAGGATGTGGAAGCTAATAATGGAAGAAATAAAATGAAATTTTCGGACACTATGCTATCAACGATTGTAATAAGCGCTCCAGAACCGGAAAAAGCTTTGAAGAAATCTATCCAAGAGCCATGAAAATATTGCATGAGGAAAGGAATAAAAGACTACTTTTGGTTGGATATGTGTGTATTCCTGTCTTTTTTCATTTTTAATTTTGACCTATATGATTATGAAAGAATAGCAAGAACTCTAACTTGCACTTTATCAATACAAAAGTTTTCACTCTTATTGATGATTTCACGGAATATAACAAATTTGAACCATAACAATACTCACTAGTTCTAATCTCTAACCACAAATAAAAAAAGGAGTAAGATAATTGGAGCCTTTGAAGGAATGTTATGATTGAAAAGACCTTTCACCTGATTTGAATAGGGATTGGTACCAAATCAGACAATGGTGTGGCAAGCCTAGACGGAGCCGGTGAGTTTCTACAAAGAGGACACGTGGCACTTGTCCGGAGCCACTCATCAACACAATCAGCGTGAAAGCAGTGATTACATTCCGGTATACACCGAACCGGATCTCTAGCTTCATAATCACATAGGCATATCGAACATGGGCCGTTATTGGGCCTTGGTAATCTTCTGCTCTCTCCAAGCACTATTCTTGGATATGACTCTATAACAGGCCGGTCCAGCCCGAGCTTCACCTCAGCGGCCGGCGAGTCAAGAACTCCGTCGCTCGTGGCACCGTCTCTTGGAGCAGATTTTGACCTTATGCAGATGTATGAAGCCAGCATTATAGTGGAGATGAGGATGAGGATGCTCACTGCGATGGCGATGCCGTAACCGAGTCCAACTCCAGTGGCCGGAGGATTTGTTGGAAGCATTGTAAATGAAGAGAGTGTGTGAGAGAGAAATAAACTAAAACGTGGAAGGAGAAGAAAAGTTTGTATAGGAGGAGACAAGTTTGGCGTAGTCCCCGGGCAAACAATTAAATGTTGCTTCAGAACATTGTTATGTAATATTTTAAATTGGTTATGAAGTTATGTGATTGTCTACCTTGAATCTTTCATCTTCTTATATTATTATGGGATCGTTGACTCTAGATCTTTAGTGATTCTATAAAACGGGTTTTATATTTTAGCTCGGAAACCAACCCAAAAAAGTTCTTTAGACGTTATGCAAAGTCTCAAATGTTCCAGTTCTTCTAGTGTGATATATGAACATTTGTATTATATGATAGATATTTAGAAAAAATTCTAGTGTTCATTTGAGATTAGATTCACTCATATAACTATGACATCAATTGTACAATTGTGAATTGTTCCATCCATTTACCAAGTGCATGGATTTATTTTTTTGATGTGTACTAATCTTAAGTGACATCACTATTTCAATTGAAAATGATCTTATCTTATATATTAAAACAGAAGTGTGATTTTTTTTTAGAAAAATAGACTATTAATAGAAAGTTATGTTACATTAACTTTTTAATAATCTTATCATTATTATATCTTATGAAAAATCATATATATAATATCAAAGATACGCTTAAAAATTTAGTTTTGGTAAATTATCCCACACCTTCCAACTTATTCACGTAAAATATGTCAATAGATATAAGTTTAGAAATCTTCTATTATTTATAAAGAAATATGTCAATAATAGTTAAATGAATCCACAATATTTTAACAAAAATCACAGATTCTTAATGTGGAATATTTATATACCCTACCAAAATTTACACGCTATATATACTAGATAAATTTATTTCGATGTAAATTTTTAAAATTGTATTGTTTAAAAAAAAAGAAATTGTTTAAAAAATTCCTTTTTAATAAAATTCTTTATAATATTAATTTATGAAGCTATAAGTTTAGTTTTTAGCAAAAATTTCTTCGCAATTTATAATATTTTTGCAAATTAAAGTATACTAATATTTAATCAAACTCTATTTATATTATTTTATCTAAAAATGAAATACTAATCTAACAAGAAATAAAATATAGAAGAAGAAATAAACACATGTTTGAAAAATATGTATTATAGATAAAAAATTGGAAACAATTTATTTGATTAAAACACGTATTATATAATATTATTATGTTTAAAAAATATTTACTATACATATCGTAAATATGTGATTACTATAATATATACTTATTTACAAGTGAAAACAAAATGTTTATATAACTAAATATAAACGAAAACAAACATTCGCGCGTTTGCGCGGATCAAAATATAGTATATGTTAAATCCTGAGGTTATTAAGTGGTTTTCATTTAAATAGGAGTTGAGCTCCTCTTTTGCGGACAACATCTACATTAGCGAAAAACATAGTATTATTATCTAGATCATTACCCCAAAATTATGTTTTTGCGTGATTAGTGGGATTGCCTTTTTTGACCTGGGAATTGTAGAATCCTGTTAGTGACAGTGGAGTAAAATTGCATTTGCGTATTTACAAGATTAATAATTAACCCATAATACTACTAATAAACAAACAACATCTTATTTTTCAAAATAATCCATACATGGAGCTAAAAGTTTGAGATAAAGTATAGTTAACAAGAACAATGAGTGTGAATCACATTGGGCCACATGTGATCAGCCCAATCTGTGCATAAACCCATCTGTAAAATAAAATATATATATATATATATACTTTTGAAGGGAAAATATATCTCATAATTCATTAACAATTCTCTCTTTTATACCAATTGCAAGACAGGCATGTTTTCATTATTATACTACTCTGCCCATCAATAACAAATACCCCACAAAGGTAGTGGAATTCTCAAAGTAACTTTTGCACTACCGGAAGAGTAAAGAAACAGATGAATAAATACATTATTGGCCGACATAAATTTTACAGAGGAAGAGACAATAGAAGATAATAATGGCATTGCTTAAACAAATAGTGACCAAACTAGCACCCAAGTTTTGCACCGGTCCGCATCTGAATGCTGGAGCTAACGGAATATACTCTTTCTTTGAACGTCCTGTCGGAATCACGCAAGGCTCAAGAAGTGCATCACTCTTTTGAATGTGTAGTGTTGGATATTTGAAAAACATTACCCATATACTATAAAGAAGATATAGCAAAACATCAATAAACCAGCATTTTACTGTCTGTAGTATGGACAAAGGAACTCATGTTATTGTAAAAATTAATATTACCGAAACACTTCACGGTTAAAATAAATAATCTCTTCCAACATTAATCCTTTTGACACCGTTGTTGTAGTTCGAACTTATAACCTTTGATAAGTGGAATAAATCCTTGATTTGTTTCATATAGTTAATATAGTTTAATTTATGTTTGATTTTATGTACTTGGCCATGTCCTAGCTCAGACCACTATATATACCATCTCATGCCAACCAAACTAATCTCACATTCAACCCAACACATATAATACAATGACCACTCTAGTCATATTCCTCCAACTTCTTTTCATCATCCCATTAACACTTGGGTTAAACCACCCAAACTGTGAACTCACCAACACTCAAGACCAAGGCTCTACCCTAAGGATCTTCCACATAGACAGCCCTTGCTCACCCTTCAAATCATCATCCCCGCTCTCATGGGAAGCGCGTGTACTCAAGACTCTAGCCCAAGACCAGGCCCGTCTACAGTACTTGACAAGCCTCGTCGCCGGGAGATCTGTGGTTCCCATCGCCTCAGGGCGTCAAATGTTGCAAAGCACAACATACATTGTCAAGGCTAAGATTGGTACTCCAGCTCAATCTCTACTCCTAGCCATGGACACAAGCAGTGATGTGGCTTGGTTACCTTGCTCCGGCTGCGTTGGCTGTCCTTCCACCACCGCATTTTCTCCGGCCAAGTCGACTACTTTCAAGAACGTCAGTTGCAGTGCTCCTCAGTGTAAGCAGGTATAATTATTTCCTTCTTACACACCTACAGATATAATAAATATGTTCCATGGAATGTTTTAGATTATAATTGTATTCTTCACACTTTTTTATAATATTTTCGTAGCTTCACTAATGGACCATAATCTTTTTTTCTTTCTTTTTTTAAAAAATTATTCAAGAATGCACCATAATCGACATAACATTTTTGGCTCATATTGTCACATACTAGTCGTATTATAATATTAACAACCTGCGATTAATTTGTTTTCATCTTAAAGATCTAAGCATGAGAATATTTTAGTCCAAACAAGGAAATAATATTCAAACTAACAGTCAGATCTAGAATTTATTTGACTAAATATTAAAAATGAAATAAATATAAACACTATTTAAATTTTAATTTTTGGTGAAAAAGTTTTTTTTCACAGATAGTGAGGTCCCATGTGGTTAATAATTCATTATTCCACCCACAAAGTCTGAAAAATCATTCACGGGATTACAGAACACACTAAATAACTAAAACCAGACCGACACAGTGCACTAACTCACGTGAACACACACACTTGTCACAGGTACCCAACCCCACATGCGGATCACGCGCGTGCTCTTTCAACCTCACCTACGGAAGCTCCTCCATCGCCGCTAACCTCTCTCAGGACACCATCCGCCTCGCCGCCGATCCCATCAAAGCCTTCACATTCGGATGCGTCAACAAAGTCGCCGGAGGAGGAACCATACCTCCTCCACAAGGCTTATTGGGCCTGGGAAGAGGCCCATTATCACTCATGTCACAGGCCCAGTCACTTTACAAGTCTACTTTCTCCTACTGTTTACCGAGTTTCAGGTCCCTGGCTTTCTCTGGTTCGCTGAGACTCGGTCCCACCTCACAGCCCGTGCGCGTGAAGTACACGCAGCTCCTGAGAAACCCGAGGAGGTCTTCTTTGTATTACGTCAACCTCGTCGCGATACGCGTCGCTAAGAAAGTCGTTGATATACCGCCGGCAGCTATTGCTTTTAATCCCACCACCGGTGCTGGAACCATCTTTGATTCCGGTACGAAATTAAAATTTTCAATCCGGTTTGGTGTCGGTTAAGATTTTTAATCATTATATTTTTGTTTAAAGCCAAGACAATTCCGGTTTTGATTGTGCATTGGTTTAGACTTAATATCGGTTTAGTTCGATTTTCCTAACCATCTTTGATTCCGGTACG